CCCAAAAAAAAACAAAAAACAATAACGAAGTATTAACCTAAGGATTTGGACTAATGATTATAGCTATGTTTACTGAGGGTAGAAACTATAGTTATCGTGTAAATAGCCCTCAATGCGCAACAGATACCGAATAAGCAACCCTAGTAGTATGCGGTAGAAACCCGCCATTTTGCACGGGTGCCTACGATAAGTTCAGCAGAAAACCATAATGCGCACCCTCAGTTGAGATTTAAATTAGCCAATCAGCGGTTTTTAAGCCGTGTCTAATAGTATACGGTAGAGGAGTGAAACCCGAGTGGCCAAGACAGGGAAGAAATCTCGACTCGAATGCGAGGACGTTGAAAAGGTGCTACGCGCGAGGACGGAGTTTAAGCAATACTTCGTTGACAACCAGGGGAATAAGAGTGGCATACATGTAGTTCTTACCTTGTTCTTCATCAGCCTTGTTTTTAGATGTTTTAACCTTCTTCTCACGAATCAAAATCGAGTGCTGGACCTGTGAAAGAGATGATGTAATGTTATTTTTAAACGTGCTTGACATATTCGTATGACTATCAAAACTCTCGGTACGTTCATCTGCCGAATCTCAAGCGTTCAATACTGAGAACTCTTTCTGGCTGACAACACATGATGGTCAATGTTTGATCTTCATTATGAGCCAGATTCATACCCAGTCGTCGCTTTGGTTTAACTTTTTAATTTGTTCCTTCTATTCGCAATGCAATATGGGAAGGCAATTAATGCGCAAAAATTCACCGCCAACTCATTTAATCCTTCCCATCAACCATAGCGCAAGAAAGAGAATCGACTGTGTACGAGTCTGACTTGGAGCAGATAATGAGATGCAAAGCTGATTGAAACTCAGCAATAGAAAAAAAAGAAAGGAATACCAACCCTTCTGAATCTCAGATTCAGATGTCCTCCAACAGCCTTCTCGGTAAAATAAAAAGCTTCGTAGATCAGAAGATCTTGGTCGACTAGAGCTACCAGGGTGACTCTTTGTTTCTTGTACCCCAGGCCTGTCAGTAGGATTTCCTTGATTCCAATCGACTCCTCGTCGCGAACGCTTGATATATTACTACAGAGAAACACAACTCTTAGGCTCAGGTCAAACGTCAAAATTTCACACGAGCCGAACCTAATTGAAACAACAGATAAGACGGTCTTCTTTGATGTCATTAGATTCGGCTCGTGTGAAGTTCGACGTTTGATCTTAGTCTTAGTGTTGAATAGTTTTCATTGAATTAACCTCTATTATTCGACCACCTATTAACCGGCCAACCTCTATTTAACGACCAGTTGGCGGGGTCCCAAAGAAGGGTTTTGTAGTATTTCTAACCTCTATAATGCGGCCACTTGACTTTTAACCAAGGGTTGACCTTTGATAGAGTTTCCGACCTTATTTCCGATTTTGGGAGACAGTAATGATAAAAGGGTAAAATTTACACACCGTGAAAATTTTTTTGAGAATATTTTGGGAGACAGAGAGGTATGAGTAGCGCCATTTTTACCCGGGATTGACTCCCGTATTCGCCGTAGAGTACAGTTGTTTCCATACATCGGTTCACTGGTCAAAAACAAAGCATTTCATCGAGGTTAAGAGGTTCAAATTTGAATAATCCTTTGAAAATACCTTGCAGCCTCAATTGAATGCTTTGTGTTTGACCAGTGAACAGAACCAGTGAAAGATGGTGAATCTAAGGACAAAGGTCTTACATACCCTGCCCCTTGGCCAGGATCTTTACTGTCTACTAGTACTTTAGGAGCCATGTTAAAATTCTTGACGTAAAAGACGAGTTTGAAGTCTGGTAGGGTGTAGATTTCCAAGACGCCATTCTGACGGCACAGTACACACCAGTAGGTGGGCTTCACGGGCTCGTCTTTCACTTCTACTTTAGGCTCTCTGTAAATGGAAATGAAACTGAATAAAAATGAAGAAATGAATGGGAAAGTTAACGAATAGATGGGAGGGTGGGTGGAAGGATAGGTGTCTTTGTATTGGTAGGAAGGTGAATGGAATGGGTGTCTATGTGTGGTTGTGTGTGTCGGTGGGTGGGTGAAAACATGGGTTCTGTGGTTGGGTGTTTGTGAGTGGATGAATAGATGGGTGTCTATGCGTGGGTGAATAGGTGTGTGTCCGTGGGTGGGTGAATAGATGGGTGTCTGGGTGAGTGGGTATGTCTGTGGTTGGGTGAATATATTGGTGTCTATGGGTGAATGTGTCTGCGGGTGCGTGTGTCTGTGGGTGGGTGAATAGATGGATGGGTGTCTATGTGTGAGTGGAATGACGGGTGTTGTTGGTGGATCTGTGGTTACTTTCAAACCCGATGTCACATCCCAAGGGTAACACAGCTTTATTTACCAATAACGATTTTTAAAGAAATAATAAGTTCTGTAAAAGAAAACAGTAACTCGGTGGATATTTTCTTTAAAATGTCTCACCCTTTCTTTTCAGGTTTGGAGGGTTCTTCAGGTTCTGTATTAAATATTGCCGAGGAATCACCGTACAACATTTCATCTTCTTCATCCAGATCTAGAGAACTAAAGTAAAGCAAAGGCATCACCCGCTTATGTCAGTTAAATTTGAAAATAATACCACAGTGGCATACTTCCTTTATCCAAATCAACGCACACAGACACACACTCACAGACGTTTTTCATCTCTACACTATCTCTTTGTGGGGGAGAGATGGAGGAAAAAGCCCCTAAAAAGATTATATGCATTTTCTAAGTTTGATAATCAAACAGGATGCATTACAGTCTAGCTTGAATATAAACACACCATACAAGAAAAGTTAAAGGAAATATGTTCAGCCAAAAAGGATGCTATTAAAAAACATTCTGGACGAGACAGGAAATGACGTTAAGTTAAACTAGGAAGCCAATCCATGGCATTGTCATGGCAACAGCACAACACGTCCACACAACAATTTTCAATCATACTAAAAAATGAAGATTTCAGATATCTGCTTCTGAAGTCATGGTATTACCCATTCATCATCCCATGTTATACTAAGCAACTTTAAACACAGACTACATGACTGAGTCTTGTGCCCTTCCTGTACTCACTCACTACATACACCACAGATACATGGCTTGGTATTGTGGTTGAGTAGCAGAGGCCTGCGTGATGCAGGGACTGGTAGTGTATGCTCATGCGACTACAGCAATAAATGTCTTGTTATTGCTGTCAGGGCTTTGGAATTATGGGAAGGAATGGGTATCAGACCTTTTACATTATCATCACCAATCTTCATCCATAGTACAGTCACAGCACACCAATAGACCTCTTTACCTTGGGCTTAATCTTTCCCTATTTCAGACCACATGTCATTCCCTAGAGTATCATTTCTTTTCTTAATGGTTGTGCATGAGAAGATAGATGAATATGAACACAATTTAAACAAAGAATCTTATTTTCAAGAGAATGACACGTGATCTGAAAATGGGAAAACATTAAACCGAAGCTGAAACGGTCTATTCCGTCTATTAATTTAATTTTTTTAACCCTTCTGTTCAAATAATCACACTGCTTATCCATTCAGATGAGAATGATTCAAGTGAATGACCGTTTTTTTTTCACTTGTTAAATTTAACACACCCATGTGGTCCTACTACCACTAGTCATCATCCATCAGGATAATGGGAGACTTACGTTTTTTGTACAGGTCGAAGCTCTGGTTGAGGCTGAGGTTGAGGTGATGGTACACTGGCTTCAGGGGCACCTGCCTTCTCTGTTTTTAACAAACCACTAACATCCTTATAAATACAGCAGGTGCATACTTTGGACCCCTGCCAGGAATAATATTAGTGATCATTAATAGATCTCTTTACCTTGGGTGTAATTTCCTCCCCTTTCAGACCATGGGGAGGGACAACAACAATCTCCATTACCTGACTGACAGGAGGCCTAGACACAGTAAGGCTTGGCCCATTTGCATCGATTACGAACTTCAAGAAGACAACAGAGCCATCAGCTGTCATCAGTATGACGTACGGGTCTGCTATAGAACACCAGATGATGGATGACAAACCTGAGTCCATCGGAATGTGCTGCACTTGATTCACTGAAGGAAAATGGATCGTGGTCAGAAAAAACAAGCTGCACGCCTGCCAATAGTGCCTTAATACACAGCCCGTAAAGTCCTCCACTGGTTATAAACGTAAAGCGCATTGAGATATTTGAAATGCGCTATAGAAGTACCCCATTATTATATTATTAAAAAACTTGTATACTATGGCTGCAGTCTGCTTTATTTACTCAAGTTTTCGATTTTCTTTGAGCTCAGACATTTCAACTGCTTGCTTTAAAATTGACTATTACTGCTGCCAGTCATAAATATAAAAGGTACTGACTGATTATTTTTGATTGACGACAGGGAAAAACAAATAATTTCAGGGTGCAGTTCACAACTAACAAGTAATATTGAAAACTGATATGATTATTTATGGAATGCTAGCTGTGATTCTTTTCCTACGCTTTCTTGGTTTACAAATGTATACCAACCTCCTTCTAAGAGACGTATACCCAGAGGAGTAATCTGTAAAATGTATCTTCCATTTCCAAGGTTACCAGCAAAGATGGTGGGATGTTGAGTAGTGAAGCCTGAATTATCTAGCTCCATTATCTCTTGTTCTGTCTTTAATACCTGGAAAATAATATTGACATACGTCATTCAAAGGATACTTCTTTCCACAAAATACTACAACACTCAAATCAAATGGCTGCCTAATTTCTACTGTGTAGACTGAAGCTATTATTATACTCAATAGCATGCATAAAGTCGTGCAACTTTGCTACCATGACAAAATTATTAGCTTTTGTTGGATGTCAATAGAAGCATGTGGCCTTTGTGTTTTCTGAAAATGTCACAGACACACTACTGGAAGTTCTCCACAGTTGGAAAACATACCAAAACTGGCGTATTTTCCGCATTTTATGCCAAAACTATTTATATGACTCTACCCAGGCAAACAAAGGAGTCAACTTGACTCCAAGAATCTGGCCACTGATTTTCCAAACAAACAAGATTTTAAAAAATGACTCCATAATTTGAGGCTCGTAAGAGAAAATAACTAGGGAGAATTTGTGATCTCTGTTTCTAAAGTCGAATTGTATCATCCATAAAAATTACCATGCTAGAGTCTTGACGGCTTAGTATCAAGAATGAATGATACTTTGAATCCTCTAACGTTGGCTCCTCCTTTTGATAATAACAACAGAAAACAGTGAATAACTTTGGCCAATGGCAAACATTTTTTATATTATTAATGATAAATACTATTCCACAAGTTATTCCACTTATTATAAGATAGGTTCTTATTGTAGAATTTATTTTAATTCAAAAAAAGTCAGTATTTGCTGCCAATTATCATTTTGCATATGAAATCAATAGTCTCCTTCACAGTTCCCTGCACCATCTTGAAAGGTAGCCGTGCCTTTGCATCGAAGCGAGACAAACAGTGACCTTGCAATGATAGAGACCTTTTTTAATACCTTGGACAATTATTCACATGTCTCTATCATTGCAAGCTCACCGTTCGACTTGCTTCAATGCAAAGGCACGGCTACCTTTCAAGATGGCGCAGGGAACTGTGAAGGGGACTATTTAGTAAATAAAACCAACCTTATTCTGTGACAAGACAGTCCACATGTCAGTACAACCTGGTAACTCAAAGGTTGTCACTACCTGGGGTCGCACTGTCCTCTAAAAAGAAAAAAACCAGAAACAATTCAATTAAACTCTTGGACTCCGAGAAAAATTGTTAAAATTTGTAAATAGTTCTACACACAAGCATCACCAGTCAAGACTAGCTATTGGATGACAAATAAACATCAGATCAAAAAGTCGTTGCAAACCCTAGAGAGTTCATATTCCTCATAATTTCTTATTACAATTTGGTAGAGAGAACGCACAATTTATTACTACTATATTATTACAATTTAGTTCTTTTAACGAATTAACGGTAATTTACATATCGTGTTTTTTCAACACATTCATCTCATGAAAAATGAGGATTTGGAACCCCATTCTTTTAGCAAAATACTTTTATTAAATGCCTACTCAACAAAATATTGGGCCAAACATCAAACTGGGGCCTTGAAAAAATACAGGTTCAAGATGGAGGTAAAAATATCAGAGCCATAAAATGGAAGTAAATATATTTCTTTGTAAAAAAAAAAAGAGGTCACCAATTTTTAACTACAAAGGACCAGAGAGTTAAGGTTTTTCTCTGGTGCCTTAGATGATAAAGATAGAGTCTCTTAAAAGTGGATTATAATTATTACCTGTAGTACTGTGAGAGCCCCATTTTTACCATAACCAGAACAAGACACTAGCTCAACATCAGGATCAAGGGATTCTGAAAACTATATCAAGCAAAATACGATCAATTAAATTTTTTTTTACTATCCAAAACCTAGAAAACTGAAACATAAAAAAAACCTGAAATCTTATTGAACCCTGAAACAAGAGCTGATCAAAGTCAGGGTATGGCTAACTCACAGATTAAACCCTGAAACAACTTCTGAGCTGATGAGGAAAACAGGGAAACCCAGAGAAAACCCTCGAATCAAGGGAGAGAACTAACAAACTAACTGTTCACATGTGATGCCAAGTCCAGAAATATTGAACTCAAGACCCCAGGGCTGAGAAATGGGGGTAATTAATAACCGCTACACCACTCTTGATTCCCTATGGAATCAAGGCTTTACATTTTTTTAATGTCTTATATTCTCACCTCTTCCTGTTGCCATTCAGATTTTTTTTTAATGTGAAGAAAAAGAGAAAAAAGTGAGTAAACAGTGAGAATTGTAATCTAAAAATTGCATTGAATACCAAGACTTATTGACTTACAGAGAGAAATCCAGGTTCACCCATGTCTAGGCACGTACAGGGACCAATGTTCAGTAAACTATCACACACCTGAAGAAAGAAGAAGTTACATATTAGAAATTACGCAGTCTGTAAAAACACACTGCTTAAAATAATGGCCACACATCAAACAATGTCTGGCAAGAATTGGAACTTGTCTGGTCAAATCTTTACCTCATCGGTCATTTTGACCAGTAATATTGAGCCAGAAAGGAGGTATGACAGAGGTACTGTAAAACTAATTTGGCCCATCAACATGACCGGCATCTTACTGGCCAATATTTTAAGCCCTGCAGTAAGACTTCACCATTCGGGACCTGCTTTTTGATTGTCTCATGGTGAAGTGTCTCTTTTATTAGATTAGGTTTTGCTTAACTGTCATTTTAATGTATCATAAAACTTGTTACAAATGGTGATGAACAGGCCGTCAAGCAAGTTTTAGCACTGTGCTTAACCTCTCATACCTCAAACGTATAAGATGTTAGTTCTACTCCTGCTTCCTCATGGTGTCCATACACTTCCACTTCATCTATGTCATCTAGTAACATCAAAAAAACTATCAAGCATCACACAGCAGGTAGTGCACTCCCCTTTTGCCTCTGTTCATGAGGTCTCAATAATGTGAGCAAAGTTTGCTGGGTATCTCACTTGATTTGAGGGTCTTTCTCCAGGTTCTCCAGTTGGGAGGGAAGCACAGGTGGCGTAGTGATGTGAGTGCTCGCCTCTCATCAATGCAACCCGAGTTCGAGTCCTGTCAGGTTTGGTGTTGTATATGAGTAGAGTTGTTTGTTGTTTCTCTCCTGTGCTTTGAGGGTTTTCCGGGTTTTCCGGGTCTTCTGGTTTTCCTCCCTCCGCAAAAATCAACTCCTAAATTCCAATTCGATCACGGAATGAGAGCCACAGGTTTGTTAGCCACTGGCTATTAAGTGCTACCCTCGTGAAAAAAGGAGGCCTCCCTCTATAAAAACTCAGTGTCTCAATACCAATTCTGAGAGCCCAGAGGTTGTTTTAGGGTATTATTAGAATTGGCTTAAACTTTTTTGATTAAAAAAATTCTTCTTTTTAAAGTTGAGGTCTTTACATGTATCCTTGCCCTATTCCATTAAAGAAGCAGATAGAGAGAGAGAGAGAGAGATGTGTCATATACAGCTGTACAGGTAAGAAATATCAAGAGGAAGAGGGATTGTAGACAATGTTTTAACTTTATGAGGATGGTACCAAGAAAGTTTATACATTTATACATATAATTACCAATAGCATATGTAAAATCACTGTCCATCCTACGACGCTTGGCATTTGGAGGGTCCACCTAGAACAAACATATTTTATCAGTTTTGATAAATAGCAAGTTAGTATGAATGGCATGTGGCATAAAAACAGATAATAATAACTAGCTGCTACAAGTTGGGACTGTGAGTGTGTTGAATACAACTAGTGAACAACAAGGAAACTTAAACAGCATGTACAAATGTTTGCAACTATACTGAAGACTCAGATTTTAGCTATTAATAGTCCTCATTATCCCTAACCAATTCTGACCAAGGACAATAACGTCTGAAATGTCAGTGAAGTTGCAGACATTTATGCTGTTTGAGTTTGCTCCTTATTCACAGAGCTGTTCAAACAAATCACTTTTTAATATGAAGATACAAGATACTTACTCCTGGAGAAAAGAGATCACCTGAAAAATAAAACAAAAAACATGATAAAATGATGTACTTTCAAGGGGCTATTTGAGTTTAGGGGGAGAGCTAACTGAGTTTCTTCCATCAACAAAATGGAACAATAAAAAAAAGCATCTAATTCTTCAGTTTTGTTTTGTTTTGTTTTCTGCTGAAGGGGGCTTCAGCCCCCCTTTGCCCCCCTGGATCTGCCCTTGAGTTTAAAAAAAATTAAATCTAAAAATAATTAAAAATAATGAACATTTATGCTAATTTGTACACTGTCAAGTTTCTTTTGTCATATTTTAAATCTAGGATGGTGTAGCACTATTGCACTTGCCTCCCACCTCAGGGACGTTTTGGGTTTCATTGTTGAAATGGGCATCACATAAGTAGTGTTTGATAGGTTGCCCCTCCTGATTCTGATCAGCCCAAAGGTCGTTTCCAGAAAGGTTTTGAAGCTATCAATCAATGTGGCAGCCATGCACATCCTTCGTCCTCTTCAATCCTCTCTCATCGATAGGGGTTTGTCCATGAGGGGTTTGGGTAACTAAGGCTATGAGGCATGGTGTTACACGGGACAACTTGCAACGCCGATTTTTCGTGCAACCCATTGTGCCATTTGTGTGTCAATTTTTTGCAACATGTTACATGGAAACAATCGTTTGCGCAACATTCACTTTAGTACTCAGTCCATGCGCTGCAAACTCACTCATGGCTATCTTTTTTCTTCTTTTCTTGCTTTTATCATTTTTTATCAGCTCCAAAAGTTTCATCTTATCCATTTAATTAGGTTTAGACAATCGTTGCAGTTGCTGTACTGTTTAAACTTACTTCTTGTACAGTTGGCGCCATTTTGTTGCTAGTCAAATAGGCGATGGACATGTTACACACATTGATTTGCTGAAAATTCTTCATCTTGCATTGCAAGTTTTTGAAGACAGATCGAAAACTAGCAATGCGTTGCAGAGTGAAATATTGCACGAAAAATCGTCCTCGGCGCTATGTTACATGGCAAAGATTTTTCATGCAACAGCGTTGCGTGAAAAATTGGTGTTGCAAGTTGGCCCGTGTAATACCACCTTTACAAAAAATGTATGACCCTTATACTAGTTAATTGTACAGTTTTTGTCCTTACCAAGATCCTGAGGTTTCTCTGTATACTTGACAAGCAATGAATTCCCCAGTCTTGATCCAAGGAATAGATATCCATCACCACACTCACAAATCTGATCAAGAATTGAATAAAACATCTACTGATTAAATATCTTCCAAAAGCAACCTGACGTTAGTAAATATGTCCAACATCCGTGCACACAATTTGATAAGGATTTACCATAGGCTGAACACAAATCTACAGATATTTGAGAATAAACGAACAAACAAGCACTTAGAATGATTTTGGGCAAAAACGTTTTTGATCTAAAAAACTTTTAAAAGAACCTGTTTTTGTCCTCTGACTAATACTTGAATAGTTTGCTAATGATTCCAGTGAAAAACGAGCCAGATACAATGTTAACAAGTGTCAAAATTAAAATTTTTTCCCCACTCCACAACGAAAAGCAAAAATTTTTATTTTAGAAAATTCAGGGTTACATTAATGCTTTTAGACAAAACCTCTGCTATCAATAGGAGCTCTGTTGAGTACCGGTGGTCTATTATGTGGAAGGCCATAAATGTGTTTACCGTATACCCTATCAGACTAATACTCAGGGTCTTAAATAATGATTTACAGTACTTACACATGAAGTCAATACACTGGCTGCAGCTTTGTCAAAATTAAAGCTTCTTACACTTCTGATACCATCAGCGACAAGAGTAACCACATATCTGATAAAACAACAAACCAAATATATGAATTTGTAAGATAACTGTTATCTCATGTTCTGATTGGTTGGGAGTAAGTGCATTATAAAAGTATACAGCAGGTGTGTGTGCACATTTTTGATTTCCTTATCCGTGTCCAAAACAGCAGTGCTAAAAAGTCCCTTTTTCACGAGGGTAGCACTTAATAGCCATTGGCTAACAAACCTGTGGCCCTCATTCCGTGATCGAATTGGAATTTAGGAGTTGATTTTTGTGGAGGGAGGAAAACTGGAGAACCCAGAAAACCCTTGAAGCACAGGAGAGAACCAATAAACAACTCTACTCATATACAACACTGAACCCGCGGGACTCAGGTGGCATTGATGAGAGGCGAGCGCTCACACCACTACGCCACCAGTGCTCTAAGTGATATTTTATAAAAGAGATTTAAAAAAACTTGCTTTACTGGGGTGTGAAGTTATAAAGCACTTTGGAAATTGGCTGATCATTCCAGGAGAGTCATGCTTTGTCTAACACTTCTCTTGTATTCTGCCAATACCCACAAGCTTTATAACTACATGTATAAGCAAGCATGTATGCTTTCTATTTCTTCTTTAACACCTATTAAATGTGCAGGGCATAAAATAATGGCCTAACGTCCGCAATGTCTGGCCAGAACTGGAATTTGTTCTGTCAAATTTTTGCCTTGCCAGTCATTTTGACCAGTAATGTTTAGCCAGAAATAAGGTATGACTGAGCTAAAAAAAATGGCCTATGATCATGACCAGCGACTGATCAGCCATTATCTTAAGCTTCCTGATGTGCCGCCTAGGCCTCCAAACACTATGACTTACATTTCGCCACCTTTGAGAGAAACCACAAATTTGTCATTAGATATAAAGATGGCATGAGCATTCTCCAATGTAATGGTTACTGATTCTTGAGGCTCTGGAATAAAAAAAATGAAAACAAAGTCTATCGTCTCTTCAAGATTAACTAACGATTAATTTCCTGGGCATAATGCTTTCCCATTTCAGATCATGTTATTCTCTTGAGATTCTTTGTTTGAGTGTATATGTGTGCATAACTGTTAAACAAAGAAATGATGCAAAAGGGAATAACACATGGTCTAAAGGCTGATTATGCATCAGCTGTGCAGGGCAGTGGGTACTTACTAAGAGGAAAAGATGTACTACTCTCGGCAATGCTATTAAGTGACACTCCATAGGGTGGAACACTCTGATTGAGGTACAGCAATGAGTTGGTAGTAAAAACGAGAACACCACCTGAAAAATAACAACAAACCTTGATAAACCCAATATATCTAGGACATATCCAGCTCATCTGAGAAAATGTTTAGCCAATCAGAATTGAGAAAATTTGCAAAATTGAGGTATCACTTTTCCTCTTGAAATTATGGATTTCCAGGCCACCAAATGAAAAAAAAATTGAAAAAAAAAGTTGCTAATAAGAGGTTTATAACAGTAACACAATAACTAATATTTTTACATATTTTTATTACAATGGTCGACCCGTTTTTTCATTTTTTGCTGGTCAAATTTTGCAGGCTTCATGACACCTCAGCTTTGCAGTGACATCAGTTTTATTAATACTGTAATAAGTAATCAAGAGTTTCATTAAATTTTGAAATAATAGAAGAAGCTCATGAACTAGACAGAAATGTTTAAATCAATATTTTATAAATTACTAAGCTATAAATGGTAGTTTAAGCCAGAAAATTTTGCTCCTTTACTGGAGCATTCTCCAATCCCCGATCCTTCTTTGAAATGCCCGAGTAATGCCAGATACTTACTTATTGGTTTTGGCACAGCTAAAACACTGTAACAGTCAAAAGGCAGGCTTCCTAGCTGCCAGATGACAGGATGTACTTTCTCTGACATATTGAGAGATATGGCTACCAAGGCACAGGTGTCTCTCCTCATGGCAAGACGACTAATAGAAATAAATTTATTAGAACAAGGAAAAATATTAATTGTGCAGTCACTCCAACTGGGACCACTTAACCAATCAAATTGTCGGGCAGAGACTGTAGGCAATCAGGAGCAAGTTGTATGCATGGGAGTAGAATTTCTTGTTGGTTCTCTGTTGTGCCTAGAGAGTTTTTCTGGGTTCTCCAGTTTTTTGCCGACAATAATTAATAATTCAAAATTCTATTCAGTGGATGATAAGCCAAACTGTGGAAATGCTACTGCAAACTGCAAATGCTCTTTTCCATGCTCTGATTTAACATTTTTCTAGGCTGATACATTATTGTTAATTTTGGGTGGCATGGGTGACGTAGTGGTTTAATGAAACCAGTTTAATATTGCTTAACTCTCGCCACTGTGATCTGGGTTCGAGCCCCGACTCAAACTGGATCATACGTGAGTTGAGTCTGTTTGATGTGTTGTTCTCTCCCTTGCCACGAGGGTTTTCTCTGGGTTCTCTGGTTTTCTCCCTCTGTAAAAATCAACATGTGAGTTGAGCATTTTATGTTGTAAATATATAATGTAGTGGTGTTGCATGTGGAGGAACCCTTCGGAAGAGCCTCGTACAAGGAGTGATGATTGTAAATAATATCAATATAACTACTAGATACTAACCCAGCCCAAGTCTTGATTGGTTCGTAGAGAATCAATAGCGTTGGTTCATAATATCCATGGAGAAACTGTAAGTCTACAATATTGCAGGTTTTTTCATCAAGCTCCTTTGTATTTATGATATAACTTGGTAGGACAGGTGAACGACCACTGTAAACAAACAAGATCCAATATTATCATTTAGTAGGGCTTAAAGCAAGGGCGGATCAGTCGCCAGTCATGATCACTGGCCAGCAAGACAAAGATTTGACCAAGAAGTTCCAGTTCTGGTCCAAAATTATCAGTCACACAATTGAAAAATAACAATGTGACATTTAGACCCCCCCCCCCTCCCTCCCCAGATATTCAGACCTTGCTACGGGCTCTTTAGATGAAGACTATTGGAAATATTGCATGGCTTTATTGTATTTATTGCTCATGATAAGGCTTTATAAGTCTGCTCGCTTAGCACTTGGTAATATTTGTACCTTCCAGACACCCCACTATCCAGATCATGTTCCTCCAAGCCTCCTTCCTGTCTGAATGGCAGAACAACTAGATGGGTGCCATATATAAGCATTACTGCACAGCGTCTTTCTGGGTCTATTCTTACTATTGGAGGTCTATCTTGCACTATAGAATTTGTCTACAGGAAGGAATATAACACACCAGATTAATAAGGTATACCGATTGTCATGCACACTGAATCATCACAATAATCGCTGTTGGAGGTCTGTCTTGTACTATAGAGTTGGTCTACGGGAAGGAATCATAATCATCATCATATCATCATCATGCATCCTCATCATCACCATACATCTTAAATCATCATCACCATCATACCTGTCATCATTATCATCACCATCATCATGAATTACAATTATATTTTACACTACGGTATCCATGACAACATGCATCACCATCATCAATAACATAATCATACATGTAATTAGTAATAGCATCGTCATCATATTCTCCAAACACCACTAGGTTCGTTGGTAACATTGTCTAGTGCTCTATTAGCTCTATGGCCTGGTTTTACTTGCAGATCTGAGTCAGAGTCTGAATTGGAATTAGAAGTGCTTCTGAAGCTTGACTTTTGCTTAATCTTATGACAAGCACTTCTCACTTGCAATCAGTCGTGCATGAACTGCTTCAGCCTCCAACTCTGTCGCAAGTAAAACAGGCTCAAACTGTAAGCCTGCAATACCTTAATCTTTTCATCTTCAAAGAAATGTAGACTTCTTGTTTTAATATCATGGGTTGTTGGGTCATATTCTATGATGGACAACTACAAGAAAAAGACAGAGAATTAATGAGATGTCTGTATATCACAAGCATGGAACTTTGACAGGTATGGCATCATCATCAACTACGTAAGACATAACTAGAATATATAGCATATGCACTTGTTACATATGCAATTTTTCACCAATTTGCAATTATATAAACATTACAAGTTAGAATACTAATATGCTGTATTAGCACTCTTTTGTTAGTGTGACATGTTCACTTAATGTTTAATGTAAATATGTACCCTAAATATTCTGATTAGTATCAACTTTGCAGCTCTGGTGTTTCCCTCACGCAGAGCAGCTTCCTGTGTACATTCATAACTGGACTAAACAATCATGCTTTGCACCATCACGTGACAACAGCCATAACAGGAGGCACAACAATAGAGTCTTTTCCTCTGAACAAATGAATTCTTTCTCATGTAAATCACAATAGACCAAATTCATTTGGCCACTTTAGAAACAAGCAAGAGACTAGGTTAAGATTTTAATCTAATGCGCAAAACAGTTTTGTCATCTAATAAAGCATCTCAAGATTATTAACTCTGTGATTTGAGCATGGTTTGTTAAAAAGTACCAGAGTTACAAGCCTTCAAAAGTGTGAAGAATGGTTAAGGTTGATAAGTGTCAAGGTTAAAATTTAAAACTTGCCTTAGTCTAGTCTTGCTCAATTCTAAAGTGGCCTATTGTTCTTACCCCCTGTCATGGCTGCCATGGCTGTGGTGGTGCAAGCCTCTATTGTGCACAATCTCTTTGGACAAAGACATCTTGATATGCTATTTTAGACTAACCTTGGCAGCCTTAAAACTCAATAACAGTGAATCTCTTGAGTTCCCTGCAAGCCGCACAGCCTGGAGTGTTTCAATGTTACCAAACACACTGTACTGCCCAACAAGTTCCAGCTTTTTCTTCTTTGGTGCTGCATCTGTTTAGAACAATAAATTCAATGAATAAAATAAGTGTGTGAAAGTGTGTGTTGCATGTTGCATACCAAGCCAAAACTGCACTATGGTGTTATGAATACAGGTGCTCTCATACCACCCCCCTCCCCTTCTATAAAAATCAATGCCTAACAACCTGTGCATATATGCATTTGTGCAATGCATATGCAGAGTAATAAGGTTTACCTGAAGTTTTTTCATCTGTCGAAGATTTCTAAAGAAAGCGAGAAAGGATATGAGAATAAAGAGATAAATAACATTGGTAAAGGTTACAATGCTTAATTTAGGGAGCAATTTTAGAATACCCCACAAATGATATGCAGTTGTCGGAACTCTTTGTAGAACGACACATACAACAATAGAAGGTATGGTCATTAAGTATGTGCATATGATTTGCGAGGTATTCTAAAGTTGTACCTAATTTAGACTTGACAAAAGTACTATAACCTAATTATATTAGCAATAACATTATTATTATCGACTATGAAGAATCATGACATTATCTCTATAGATAATACATAAAATAACTCTTAATTCACTCCTTCGTAAATAAAAACTATTTAAATAAGATCTAGAAGTTCTCTTCTAACGTTTTAATGGTCGAAGTAAGACATACCGGTAGGTGCACTTGTTGAACATAATCTAAATCTAACAAGTTCTAGATTAATATTGCCAAGTTCTAGATTAATTGCAATCTTCTATTAAAAGTATTATTCATTCCCGTCATTGATATGTCTTCTTTATGAAAGTAGAATTTAACAGAAGTCATTTTACTCACTTCATTCTGATAATACAGCTTGTAGATTCGCAACTGGGTCGTTCCAACAACCACAAGATTTGATTCTTGAGATGAATAAAAGTTGCAGTAAACACAAAGTTCCACGCCTGATGGAGGATGCGTTTGCTTATACAAGGCGTACATCTTTGATGTTACTTAGACTGTGAGGTTATTTACACATTTATTCTTCTGTATAACGGTATTTTGTGGAGTATTTTTAGGAAAACACGACAACCATTCAGTTTGACGACTCGTCCGCCATTTTGAAAATCTGACAACCACATGGTACTAACACTAGAACGCATGCCATGCTCGGACGAGTAAACAACAGGAAGACCGATTCTAAAAATGAAAGGAATCTGAAAGTGGCTCCTAAAGCGTGGTTTTCACCACAGGTAGCCCAAGCTTGGTTTCTGTGGTGTCCTGTTATAAGGAAATGTATGGAGATTCATCAAAACTTTCAATAAAATCATCAAAACGTGAAATAAAGCCTCGAAATTTTACCCTGTCATTGAGAAATAGCACTTCTTTCGCTCTGCGTGGTTATTTTTTGAATTTAGCCCGTTCTAAGGATTTTTTCCCCCACCAGTAAGAAATAAGAGAAGGTTGGAAACTCGAGGCCCAACGGCGAGCCATCACGAGTCTTTGAAACCTCGTACGTCTTCGAATTTTCTTTCCAGCGCCAAATTTTAGTCATGACCCTTCTCTCACATCCCTATAGAACCGAGAAAGTCGCATTAGAGATTAGTCTTCGCGTCTTTAAGTCATGAAATTTGCCTGTATTCACATATTACCTCGCT